CATCAAATGCTACAGGACTGCGACATGGCCGCGTGCAACACCTTCGTGGACGCGGGCGACACTTACTACGGTAACCACGGCAAGAGCTCTCGCATAGACTTCATTCACATTCCTCAAGGCTTGATGGCGCACATGACGAACTGCAAAGTCTTAGAAGCGGCGGGTCGGAGGCTTCAACCGATCCAGACTTTAGACGACCGTGACCACAGGCCAGTGCACGTGGAGTTCTCTTATTGTTTTCAAGCGCAGATGGGCGGTCAGCCAGGTTGGGATTTTGATCGTATCATGGCAGCAGCTCGCAGAGGGGAAGGTTGCACAAACATGATTGAAGAACTACATGCAGAACTTCTTCGCATCGCAGAGCCCGAATGGGTACGCCTTTGCACGAGACCGACGACGGATGAGCTTTGGAATTATACGGCGACCCTGCTGGTAAATAAAGCTCGAGAGGTGTTCTGCAAGCCGACGCCGACGGAGTCTTTGAAATCAGAAATGGAAAAGCAACGTTCGCAGTTATTGGTGAAGCGTAAGTCTCTGAAGGGCAGGCGCGTGGGCAGATACACGGAGACGTGGAAGGACCTCGAGCTCGAGCTGGCCAGGTTAACGCTCCGCATTCGCAAGACCACTCAGCAGATTGCGAGAGACAAGACGGAGGAGACCGTACGGGAGCTGAACGAGGCTTGGGCAACACATGATCACAATACGGTGCAGCGTCTCATTCGAAGGTTAGCTCGTCGGGGACGCGGACCTAGACAGCGGCGCTACTTCGTCACCAAGACAGAGAATTGCGAGGCGGAGCAGATCAGTACATACTTGCAGAAGGCGGCCTCCGAGGGGGGCATGGGCGGGGTGCTCTGTGATCTTCAGGCAGAGCTCGCTGAACGATTCGGCCGATCACACTACGACGACGAGGAGGACCAGAACTTCAGCTCCGACCAGGTGAGGTACGACACAATGCAACTCGTGAACCTCGAGCAGGCCCAGTTGGATCTTCAGGGCATGCTCAAGGTACTGCGCTCCTCACCGAAGAGACGGGCGTGCCCTCACTGGTCGATGCCATCGGAACTATGGTTACTGTTGCTGGACGCTGAGGTCTGGGACTCCTTCAAACGTGGGGGAGTTGGCGCTAGTATGCACCCCTCGACTGCGACGGCCTTCCTCGAACGCATGACGGACATCATAGCTTGCTTTCGGCGATCAAGACAGTCTCCTTTATTGTTCGACATTTCTTCATGCTTGGGATTGGACAAGCGGAATGGCAAGGCGGGAGCTGCAGGTCAGAGATGGATTCATTTGTTCTGTCCCATGGGGAAAGCTTGGCATTCCCACCTTTGGAGACGCGGCAGATCGGTGCGCAGCAGCTTACCCTGCCTTTGCCGCGGCTTTGTTTTGCGACGTAGGAGGGAGGACGCGATAGCAGTACAGGCTTGCGCTTCCTGGCGGCTGGAGCAAGAGGGCCTTTCTCGCGCCATTGTGAACGAGGATGCGACAAACGCCTTCGCGAGCACGGGCCGAAACACTATCCTTGAGGTCCCCCCCCTCCCTCTATCAACCAGATGACGTCGTCTTTCAACGTCGTCGTACGATCCAGGGAGCCCTGCAGATTGAATCGCCATCGGGACCGATTACGCTGCGTCCGTCCACGGGGGAGATGATGGGACACCCGAACCCTGCCAGAGCGTTCCCGTACTTCTACGAGGTAGGTCTCGCTCGATATCATGACCACCGTTCGAGGACGACGTCGAGACAATACGCCGAAGCGATCGAGATCGATGGTACGGTTAGTGACGTAGGCTTGGCGATTTTCGCCGATGACATCACGAAGATTGCAACGCCAGGATGGGGACCAGAACCGCACGCCAACGGTAGCGAGGCGGCGCCCCTTGCGGCGCTGGCGGAGTCAAGCAGCTTTCACCTCCGTGAGGCCCTGTTGGAGATCGGCATTTCTCTGAACCCCGACAAGAGGGTCACGCTCGCTAGGATTTTTGGTCGTGGCTGTGCTGGACAACGCCGTCTCTGGCATAGCGGAGTCTTGAAAACGTCGGGCGTCCGAGGGCGTCACATTCGTGTTCTGGGAGGCTGGCTTACTACGACAGGGTCCTTGGCCGTGGAAAAATCGAAGCGGGTCCAGGCGGGGAAAAACGGCCTGGGGCTCATCTCGTGCTTCTTGGTCAGACCCGCTGCCCGAGCCATCAAGCGGATGGCGATCATCGCCTTCGTCCAGGCGGCCCTTCTCTCTGGCATGGAGGCACGGGTTCCTGATGCCTCATTCTGCGAGCAGGCGGACAGGGTGTTGCTACTAGCGATGCGCAGGGGACTGGGTCTGCAGGGAGCCACTAAGGGCGAAGACGGGGCAATCCGACGCTGGCCATCAAAAAATGTCTGGGAGTATTGGAAGATCCTGCCGACCTCCGCTGAGCTCCGGGTGCGTCGTCTGGGTTGGCTTCAGAACTGGGCCCCTTTTCCCGAGGCCCATCGCCAGGTTCGAGCGTGCATCCTGGGGACCATGGGAAGCTTCGACACAATCGGCTCCGACTGGAACCTCAACCCGAAAGCCAACCCCTGGGCCCAGCAGGTTCTGGAGGACCTGAGTTTCGCCCATGATCACTGCGAGGATTTCTACATGCTAGTCCCCTCGGGTTACCCCTTGCTGAAGTTGCTTTACATCGACGAGTTTAGGGACTGGGCCTACCTGGACTTCACGGTCCTACGAGCGGCGGCCTACTCAAAACAGTTTGCCCCTCCTGAACACCACCCCGAGGCTCCAGAGGTCCCCGAGGCAGAGGAGGAGACGGCCCCCGAGGGCCAGTTCGTCTGCAACATGGTGCTCACCACGGGCGCCAAGTGCAACGAAAAGTTCAGCACCATGAAGGCGCTCCTCCTTCATGCGGGCCGCGCCCACCGCGTTCGGAATGAAGCTGCCCTCCTGACAGTGACTAACCAATGTTTCAGATGTTTACAGGTCCTTAGCACGAAAGAGAACGCGGAGAGGCACGTCATGAGGTCGTTCAAACGAAACATCTGCTGCCGCGGGAGGAGCTCTTTCTTGGCGCAAGACGTACTGATCCCCAGCGAACTACAGTGTCCAGTATGTAGGCATTGGGCTCAAAGTCTCTTCGACCTTCAAGGACACATTCGAACTCATTGCTCACTACCTCAGCCTGAAGTGAGACACCGTCGACAGCAGGATGGCTCGAGGCTCGGAGGAGAACGTGGACCTGATGGACCTCGGTGCGCTGATAGAGCTCGGTAAACGGAAGGAATCCCCTGGTGGAGAAGAAGGTGGAGCAAGGTCCAAGGGGCGCAAGCTGGCAGAGGCAGCGGACGACGCAGAGGACACACTGAACCAGGTCGAGAATGCTCTTCGAGGAAAAGACGTTGCTGCGGCGCTCTCCCTCCTCCTAAAAGGTTTCTGCATGCACTCACAGCTGCTACGCGACGTGGCGGCAGTGGTTTGGGTAAGCGTGATCCTCCCGTCGATCTCGCCGATTATTGTGGCTTCCAGGGCCGCTGGAAAGCTCTACGCCGAGGCGGCTGGACTACCCTCGGTGAAGGACAAGCTTGGACCACCTCATTTACACATAGCGCGCGCAGGGTTCAAGTGTCTAGTGGAAGCCGAATCGAGCACCAAGATCGGGGGGGAAGCGCTGGAAGTGGTACAGTTGTTCTACAGCAAGTTCGTACAGAAAGGACAGATGCAGGAGCTCGGATTATCGATCCGACACTACCGCTGCAAGAAGTGCTACAACGAGGACATGACACGCCTCCAGTTCGCCATAGTGGACGGGGTCAACCTGCAAAGCGACAGCGGCGAGCCCACAACCTACTCAAAGCTGATGATCGAGAACGCGACGGTGGTGCTGCTCAGGGGCATGGGCGGGACACTCAAGCAGGGGACGGCGCCGCAGGGTCATCTCGAGAACCTCGCACAGAAGATGCTGGACAAGCACAAGCTGGGCGGCAAGGGCAGAGGCAAGAAGTCGACGGCGTGACATGGGAGATGCGACTGGCGGCTTTGCAAGCACGTACTGCGGCAAAGGAGCTGGCAAAATCCCAGGCGATGCCTAGGTTCAGACGTCGCCATGTTTTCGCCATACGCCTCGAAACAAATCCTGAGCTTCCTCAGGTTCAGTCGCCATGACGCTGGACGCAGGGAAAACTCCACACTACCTTGATTGGGATGGTTGTCTTTACATAGATTTTCATTGATTGGCTGTTCTCGGACGTTGACCACGCCCAGCTGACCTCCACTGCCGGCCAGATCGGGAACCCAGATCGTAACCTCTTGCTCTGGTCCCCCCTCGCCGCGATGGGCATGGTAATGGCTGTGTTCTGGTTCGTTCAGCCCTTCGACATCTAACCTTGAGGCCCCGCCCGCCACGCTCGACAAGGCGGGAGTGTTCGCTTTGCTGTCTACAGTCGGTCTTTTCCTCTTGCGGATCCGAACCCGACGAAGGGCCCACTCCGACGCTTGCCAATCGGATGCCTTCGGGGCCCGAGTGTCAGGTATTGGAGAGGGCCCTATCGCCTGGGTTGCCGATCTGACCTCCATATATATTCATTTCCTTTTTTTTCAGGGCTGGGTGGATGCCTCGGGAGCCTGCCTGGCACACACAGTGCCGCGAGGTTTCGGCCCCTTCGGGGCCAGAGGGGTGTCCCCCCCAGCCCGCGTGTGACACTGAATATTGCGCACAGCCCCGATACACACGTGTCGAGCGCTGCACGGCGCGCGTAACCCGTAACCTCGCATAGTAGATATGCGATCGTTTGAGGTTGTAGTTCTGCACGCGTATCACACCATGTGTAGAGCTGCGTCACCCCAGCACACGCGCAAGGCCGAGTCCTATCCTATCCTATCCTCCTCCTCCTCCACCTCCTCCACCTCCTCCTCCTCCTCCTCCTCCTCCTCCGCCTCCTCCTCCTCCTCCTCCTCCTCCTCCTCCTCCCTCCTCCTCCTCCTCCTCCTCCTCCTCCTCCTCCTCCTCCTCCCCCGCCTCCAGGTGCCCGGCGCGCGCGGCTGCTCGCGCGAGCCCTGCCCAGAGGCTGGCGCGCACTGCGGCACGTCGGCGGGCGGCGGCGCCGCGGCGGAGGAGGCCGCCGCGCCGGAGGGCGCGTCGGCAGCTGGCGCTGCTCGAGCCGCGGGCGTGGCCCGCGAGCGAGCAGAGAGCGCCGCCGAGGCTCGAGCATAGGCGAAGCGTCCTGGCTCGCTTGCAGGCCCACCGAAGAATGTTCTAAGAGCTTGTTTTGGTCTGCACGACATGTTATAAGAACAGTTCCAGCCGATACTGTCTTGTTTTTGTGCATCGGGTGTAAGTTCCAAGATAATTGTTTTTGTTACTCGAAAATTGCGGGGTTCTGAGAACATGTCGTGGTAGGCCTATTGGAATGCCGGGACGGTCCGTCCCTGCTCAAGAGGTTGAGGACGCAGGCGAGGAGGTGCAGGAGGAGGCGGCGGCGGAGGCCGTTTGCGCTCATCAATCGGCATCGCCCAAGCATACATCTATGCTGTGTACTATAATTCTGTCGTGCTGTATGATCTGGTCGGACGCACGCTTCCAGGGAGGACGCATAGTACTAGTACGTCCTTCTGCGTCCCGTATCTGATTCGTGTCCGCCGTTCGGCCGCCCCTTCTTTCTCTCTCTCTCTCTCTCACTCTCTCTCTGTCTCTTTCTCTTCGTTTCTTGGTTTGTTTTGCCCCTTCCCGCGGCGCTTCGGGTGGCAGGGGCTCGAGGGCATTTGGCGCAACTCCCCGCGCGGACGTGGTCCGCAGCTCCGAGGCTTCGGCGGAGGCCGAGGAGGAGGAGGAGGAGGAGGAGGCCGCGGAGCAGGGCAGAGCCGAGGGCAGCCTGGCCCCGGGCGGGCGAGGCGCGCCCCGAGGCGGCTCCGCGGACGCGCTCGCGGCCGCGAGCGCCGCGGCGGCGGGCGCCGCGGCGGCGGGCGGCGCGGCCGTGGCAGAGGACGCGCGGGCCGCGGGGGCCGTGGGCTCCGTGCCTGGCGCGGGTGCCTGCGCGCAGGTGCCCCGCTCGCCGCAGCGGGCGGCGCCCGCGGCGGCCGCGCTGTCCCCCGCGGCCGCGCACCGCGGCGCTCGCCCGTGCGCCGCGGTGGAGTTCACCGACATCGGCGGGCAGGATTTCATCGAGGATAAGAGAGCGCCCCTGGCCCTAATAACATAGTGAAGACGTGGCCTCGCTGAGGCCCCCGTTCTTGCATGAGGGAAAAGATATCTGTGCGGCTTGGATTGAGGCATCTGCAGAAGAGACCCCCAATCCCTCATGTTTTTGGTCGCCTAACTTAGGTCGCCTCCCAAAGGGTTGGGGGTTCTTTGATTGCTCATCAGGACTGCGGCACGCCTGGCGGCCAGGAGAGCCGCGGCTCGCCCGGGGACGAGGCGGAGGAGCGCGAGCCGATCGAGCCGATCGAGTACTTCCTGCTGGACTACCTCGGCCTGGTGCCGGAGGGCCTCTCGCAGAAGCTCCGGGAGAGCCTGGACGTGCACGAGGACCTGGTGGACCGCATCACGGCGCGCAACGAGCACCTCCGCGCGAGGACCCGACGAACGTCGGGCGGGTCTGCGAAGCAGGAGGCCTCCTCCCCCGCCGGCAGCGGCAGCGGCAGCGGCGGCGGCCGCTCTCCGCCGGTAGGCGGAAGGACGCCGCTCAGCGCCGAGAAGAGGGAAAGGGAGAAGGAGGCCTGGCGCCGCGAGCTGCGGGCGCAGATGGCCGTCAAGATCGCAGCCGTCGAGGAGACGAAGCTCCGGGTGGGGGCCGAGGCTCCTCCAGTGCAGAATGTCAGCGACGGCCTGCCCGCCCGGCTCACATGCTCGGTTCCTGGACCCCTCCTGCCGCGGTCCATCCTGACCCGTTTCTCGAGGCGGATCCAGCCGTGGCGACGGGAAGCATCCAGGAGGCCCATAGTAAAGACGAAGGTCGCCAGGGAGGGCCCCCCTCCAAGAGGCCCACTACGCGGCCATGAAGGCGAAGCTGCAGCACACGTGCAAGACGGCCCGTGAGCGCATCGCCGCCATGGCCCAGCGCGCCGAGCTGCGGGAGCGGGAGTACAGGGCCAGCTCGGCGGCGGCATCGGCGGAGCGCGAGCGCCTGCAGGCCTCCCTGGAGGCGGTCAAGCAGCAGCAGGCCGAGGCGAGGGCGCGGATCGCCGGGCTCGAGGGCGACATCCACGACCTGGACAGGCAGAACGGGGCAGTGTCAGGGGGGGGAGGGGCAGCACCGTGGATCGCGAGTGGGGGCCCGGTCCACCCCGCCCAGGAAACTGCGGATTCGCCATCGGGGCCCCATCGCTGATCCATCGGCGAGGCATCGCCGATGCCGGGTCGATGCTGTCCCTGCCCCCCCCCCCTGAGCCTGTCCCCCCCCTGCGGCGTGGCCCCCGCAGGCAGTTCCGCGCGGGGGAGAAGGCCCGCAGGGCGTACCTGGGAGACCTGGAGTCGCTGCGGTGCGAGCTCCGCGGACACAAGGCGCGCGCCGCGCGCGGGCGCGCCGCGGAGCAGCGGGTGAGCGACCTGGAGAGGGAGCTGCAGGCGACCATGAAGGCCGTCGCGGAGGCTCGCTTCCGCACGGCGCCCGCGGAGGCGCCCGGCAACCTGGGAGGCGCGTGAGGCGGCCGCGGCGCCCCCCTCGATGGACCGAGTTTCCACCACCCCCGCCAGAGGTAGGAGAGGGAGGAGGCGGAGGAGGAGGAGGAGGTGGAGGAGGACCTCCTCGTCCTCCCTTCTTCCCCATCCATCCTACCTCTGGTATGGGTGGTGGAAGATTGGCCCATCACCCCGCGCCCGACCGTCCCTGACTAATTATCTAATTCTCTGCACGAGCATGACTTGGCGGACTTGGGGGCTGGTCTGCGCGACCAGCTCTGGTGGGGCACGCTTCGCACGTGGCAGCCTCCCCCCCCCTTTCCTGTCCCCCATTCCCCCTCTTCCTACTCCTTCCCAACTGCTCCCCCCTCCCCCGTCCTTCCTCTTCGCAGGGCCTTCTTGCAATTTCGCCCAGGAGACCAGCCTCCTGCATCTTGGTTATTTTCCTTGGCTCTGCTATGTGGTTGTTGCTCTTGTTGTTTTTTGTATCCTCTCTCTCTCTCTCTCTTTCTCGCTCTCTGTCTCTTCTGCAGTCAGTCAAATTCCCTCGGCAGTATCAGTCAACAGACGTAGAAGCCGCTTCTTTACTCAACGGGAGCGGCTGGTGCAAATCCATGTGGTCTGTAGACTTGGCCCAGAGCACCCAGTTCAGTAAGGCACCTACAGGCAATAGGGCCACCGTTCTGTCGATGTGCCTCCTCCTGCTCCTCCCCCTCCTCCTCCCTCCTTCCTCGTCGTCCCCCTCCGTCCCACCTCCTTTTCCTCCTCGCCCTCGTCGTCGGCCTCCTCTTCGTCCTCGTACTCTGGAAGGAATTCAAAAGCAGCCCGCCGCAGGCGCCGAGAATTTTGATTTGTACACTGAGCGCGGTTTGGGTCGCGGGTGTGTCGCAGGTTCTCCACTTGGAACGAATGCAAAAGGAGCCCGCCGCAGGCGCCGAAAATTTTGGGTGGGTCGCGGGGTGGGCCGCGGGTGGGTCGCGGGTGGGTGGTCGCGGGTGGGTCGCGGGCGCGGCTTGGGTCGCGGGGGTCGCAGGTTCTCCACCTGTAGTGAATGCAAAAGAAACCCGCCGCAGGCGCCAAAAATTTTAGGTGGGTCGCGGGGTGGTTCGCGGGTGGGTCGCGGGTGGGTCGCGGTGGGTCGCGGGTGGGTCGCGGGTGGGTCGCGGGTGGGTCGCGGGGTGGTTCGCGGGGGGGTCGCGGGTGGGTCGCGGGTGGGTCGCTAGGGGGGTCTCGGGGTGGGTCACGGGCGGGTCGCGGGGTGGGTCGCGGGTGGGTCGCGGGTGGGTCGCGGGTGGGTCGCGGGTGGGTGGCGGGTGGGTCGTGGGGTGGGTCGCGGGTGGGTCGCGGGTGGGTCGCGGGGTGGGTCGCGGGTGAGTCGCGGGGTGGGTCGCGGGTGGGACGACGACAACAACGAACAACAAACAGCAAACAACAAACACCAAACAACAAACAACAGACAACAAACAACAAACAACAAACAACAAACAACCACCAACAACAACAGCAACAACAACACCACCACCAACAACAACAACGAGAATCCGCATCGCCGAATATCACTTCAGCCACGCACCCAGGGACAGTGAATGACGGTTCAGCCCCTTCTGACCTTTCTGCCCCGAGAGGGCCCCAGGAGGTCCCAAGAGAGGCCCCGAGAGAGGCCATCGGAGTCTCCCAAGAAAGCCAATGGAAGCTTCCAGGAGGGCGGGTAATGGCTTCAGAAGGCCCCTCAAAGCCCAAAGTCCCGAAGACGGCCCAACGGGGGCCCAAAACTCCGCAAAAGAGCCCCAAGAGGGCTCAGAACGTCCGAATCCCAGTTTCGCGACATTCCCGTTAGGCACGTCCGTCACCAAACCTGCATTATGTTGATTTCGGCGCCCCATGCGCGTATTTCTCGCTGTTCAGCCCGTACTGTTCTCCTTCCACGCTCGTTGTATACATGCATCCGTAGCCTTCGGCTTCAACTTCTTACTCCACCGACATTCGCCACCTCCAGCATGTAGGTATTCACTTGCTTCGATTGTGGTCATTGTCTTCCTTCAAACGCTTTCTCCCGCACCAAACTGCTGCAATCCTATGGGGCCTGCATATCGTGCGCCCGCCTACGAGAAACCCAATCCAGAGAGACGCCCAACAAGAGATCTTTGAATGCTCTCGCTGTGGGGAGCTTCGAGACCGAACGCGCTGAAGCAAGACTATGCTGGAAAAGCCCGCATACGCCCGTGCTTGCAGTGCCTGTGCCTCATCAAGGCACGGTCGCGGCGGTCGCCCTAAGCAAGAGCTCCTCTCCTGCCCGCGCTGCGGGGATCTTCTAGACCATACTCACTACAGTGCCAGCCAGCTCAAAGCTCCCAGCCGTACGCGTGTGTGTTCGTCCTTCACCAAGCCTACCCAGATATGTCCCCACATCTGCGGACCGTCAATCCGTATCATTGGGGCCTGGGGATTGCATTTGCGCTCGCTGTGGCGTCGCCCGGCTCTCCGAGGAATATCGGTTTCTGCTTCCAGTTTGGAAAGCACGCAATCGATTTCACGAGATACTTCGTGGCACTTGGGCCTGCGCTGTTGCAGACGTGCCGCTGCGATGGATTCCGCGCCCACTCCCGGGCATACAACAACCTCTTCGGGCTCGCCGTGCACGACATCCAGTCCACCACCACATAGCGAAAAACCAGTTCTACGCCCAAGACGCCTTCCTTCATGCGCATTCACGGGACGATGCGCAGGAAAACATGGACGCCAGAGGGAACCACCGTGCAAAACATGGTCGTCGGCCCCCAATTTCGGTCGCAAACGGCGAAGCGCCTGCAACTGAATCCTAAACGTGTCCGTGCCCTCGAGCGCCACATGTTCCACGGGAGCCCGTACATGACGGATACCCACAAATTGAGCACCACCATGTCACGCTGCCCCGACGTAGCTCTGCGGCTTAATTGGATCGAGAGAGGAGGGCAAGGGATCCAGGTTCAGATTTCGAGGGCCAAAGTGTTTATCGATGTTCCTGCTTTCAGGCCTCTGACGTTCTCGCCACCACATGGCAGGGTCCGCCCCGAGAGTCGGGTCCAAACGCAACGCCTGAATAGCTGGCTGCAGTTCCAAGCCAAGAAAGATTGCGCGAACGGCCTTCTTGTCGAACCTCGAAGGACCAAGGTGCATGGCGCGCAGCGCCAATGCAGTCGTGTATACATATGTATATGTATATATGTATGTATATCTATCTATATATATATATATATGTCGATCTCCCGATCTGTCCATCGACCTCCCAATTTATCAATCGAGAACAACAACCGCGGGACACAAGTCGGAATCACAACAGCAACAACCATCGAACCAATTAGCGAAACAACCACGGGACACGTGGTAACCATGGGACAACCACAGGATAACCACGGGACAGCCACGGAGCAACCCGAGGATCACCACGGAACAACCACAGGACAACCACGGGACATCTACGGGACAACCATGAGACAACCGCGGGACAGCTACGTGATAACCATGGAGTAACCGCGACACAACCACGGGACAGGCACGGGACAACCACGTGACAACCTCGGAACACCCGCGGGACAATTGCGGGACAACCATCCAGCCGTTTCCTAGACGGCCACGGAACAAACATAGAAGCGGACATCCACGGAATAATCACGTCACAACCACAGGACAATCATTGAACAACCGCGGGGCAACCACGTAACAACCATGGAACAACCACAGAACAACCGCGGGACAACAACGGAACAACCACGGGACAGGCACAGAACGATCGTGGAGCAACCACCGAACATCCGCGGGACAACAACGGGGCAACCGCGGGACAAGTACAAGACAACAGTGGGTAGCCACGGGAAAACGGGACAGCCACAGTATTATTTCGGAACAAACACAGGACAACCACACGGAATCACAGGACAACCATGAGACACCCGCAGGACAATCACGGGGTACAACCGCGGAACAACCGCGGGACAACCATGAACTAACCACGGAGCAATCACGTAACAACCCCATTGTGGTGAGGGGGAGCAACGATCTAATGCCAGATTTGCCCTATCAAGGCGCTCCGTTTCGCCCGTACGCGCGTTGCGTACGACACGAACCGAAACAGAGATGGAGCTTTGGTTGGGGGACTCAGTTTATGTTTCTTCTCGTCCCCAACCTTCCGACCAGTATATATGATTGACCGATTGAGCTGACCGCGCTGCCGATTCAGGAGTTCTCGAGTACACTCCTTCATTGCTTCGCTCACTCCGCCGACCCATGTTGCCTCGCCGCTGTCGTTTGTCGGGGTGTGCCTCCTGGGACTCTCTGGTGGCGACGCCCGCATCTCTCTACCTCTAACCTCGCTGGTGCGCTGCCCTGCAGGCGCACGGGTCTCCTGGGGGGCATCTTGGCTCCCAGTGCGGGCTTTGTCCCCCAGGGGGTGGGCGCATGCAGATGGTATCTCAGGCGCGCTCATCCCTTCCAAATGTGGCCTCTTCGGGGGTCTTTGTGCGGGTCGCGGGCCGTCTGGAAGCCATCGTGGGTGTCTCGGACCGATTATTCGACGAGTGCCACCTGGAGCGCTGCCAATTGCCTGAGCGATCGTTGTCAATGCGGTGCTGCTTGGTGGGGTTGTTGATTATTTTTCGGCCTTGGGCCCATCCCACCACCGCCCCGGGGCTGTGGGTCGAAGGCCTCATGATGTTGGTTGGGCTCTCGTGGTTGGCCTATCGGGGGCCCCTGGGAGGCAGTTTTGAAGCCCCTTGTGGGCCGTGTTGGGGCCTCTTGGCCTCTTGGGGGCCTGCTGGGGTTTCTTGAGGTGCCCTCTTGGGGGCCACTTGGGGGCCCCTTGGGGCCTGTGGCCTGTTGGGGACCTCTTGGGGCCTCCTGGGGTGGGGGCCTCTTGGGGCTGAAGGCTGGACTTTTCGGTTCCTGGCTCCCTTATTGTGCCCGTCTTGGAGCCGTTTCGGGGTTCTCTTGGGCCGTCTCGGGCGCCTCTTGGTGCCCTTTTGGTCCGTCTTGGGCGCCTCTTGGTACCCCCTTGGGCCGTTTTGGCGATCTCTTGGACGGGCGTGTTGGGCCGTCTGGGGACGATGGTGGGGGCCTTTGGGACAGTTCTGGACGCTGTGAACCCC